AGTATGTTTTAATAAAATTAATCTCAAATTTGTATACAGTATTCAAAAGTCCAATCCAGTGTAAAATATTGAAAACAAGTAGTTGCTTTTTAGAAATAGATTCAGTAATTCACCTTTTAATCTTAGCTATATCTTCTCTTTTTTCAGAGTAGATTCAATAATCTATCCTTTTATCCTACCTATCTTATCTGTATCCCCTTATATATGTAATTGGAAATTATTATGTCTGAGTTTGATATTTGACCTGATGATAAAACTTGTTAGAAACTGTTTCATTTAATACATTTTAAAAAATTATTTCCCAAGTTTAAGCCTCTGAGCTTTCACCCTAAGAGCACAGAAAGGGCAGATGTCTTACTCTGATTTTTTTGTTTGCAGATACAAACTTCAAGGAGTCTGAGCCAGTGTGGGTGGTCAGTTTGCTCTGATGCTTCATGTTATAGAATTCCTTTGTTGAAACAAGTTCTGTAATTAGAGCAGAGTTTTAAAGTATAAAAGGGGCAGACTCCATATCAAACTAATAAAAACAGTAGTAGTTTCTCAAATGTTTAGAACAGTTTTTTAAATTGTAGTTTTAGGTCCCTAGATGTTGAAGTTTCAAAAATAATAAATAAAATGTTTTTTTGTTTGTTTTTTTAAAGAAAGTTGTCCACAGACAGTGGTATTAATGCTACACTAAAAACAAAAACAAAAAACCAACATTAGGATTGAGAAGAGTTCTCTGTGTTTTTTAATGGCTGCATTTTCAGCCTTCTCTGAATGTTTGTATCATTGAAATTAATTTAAAGACTCAAGAAGCGTGTTCTGGCCTTCCATTAATGGTGTTCCATTAGGGCTATCTGTTTAGTTGTTGGACTCATATATAGGTAACATCATAAGCAGGGAACTAGCTGTGAGAATGTAGATTCCCAGGTGTGCCCTCTATTTGATCAGTAGCTTGTCATGAGTTGGGTAAGCTGTGGCTACCTCAGCCTCCTGATTGGTATGCTGCTAAGAGTTATAGTACTACATGTAGGGGAAGCTGTAGCCACGCCTACTTAGGGGCTGGCTACAGGTGTGCCTGACCATGCTTTCGAGGGCGTGGGCAGGGGGACGTAGAGTGAGACTTTGAGGGGACTGCGTTTCTCTTTCGGTTTCCCTTTGGGACTTGCTGGACAGACTGCTCCCGCACCGACTGGCTAGGTTGCTCTGTAAGTAAGGCTTTTCCCTATTAAATACCCTTATATTTCTACCTGACTCCGTGTTGGTAATTTCCCACTATAACTACACTGAAGTAATTTTAGTTTGGGGAGTACACAAGGTGATATGCTGTATCACAGACAGTAAATGTTAGGTAAAAATGTAGCTGCCATCATTATCATTGTCATTTCAGCTTTATCCGAAACTAAGAGGCTGAGTTACTTGAAATTTATTTCTAGCTGGGTGTGGTGGCGCACACCTTTAATTTCAGAACTCTGGAGGCAGAGAGAGAGGTGCATAAATCTAGTCTATACCCTGGTCTACAGAGCAAGTTCCAAGACAACCAGGGTTACACAGAGAAACCCTGTCTCAAAAAAAAAAAAAAAAAAAAAAAAAGACAAAAAAAGCAAGCAAGAAAAATGTATTTCTGCATAATATGTGTAACAAAGAACATAAACATTGTAAAATATTTAGAAATTGTGTCTGTCTTTTTATTTATTTGAGAATAATGTAAGCTGGTTTTAATATGATACTGAATTCTGATGTTTCCTTTAATTTTCTAGTCATTTCTTTCTCCACTAAATGAAAACTTTGAACATATTTGTATATAATGGTAGTTGTAATGTGTTTGGTATCACTTTGTTATATTTAGAAATAATTTTTGTCTTGTGGTTTTGAAAAGACATTGCTAGCACACCTTCAATGAGATTTTGATTTTATAGTTTATGGTTGGAGTCCTATGTGATTCAGGCTGGTCTGAATCCTGTGACCCTCTACCTCAGCCTTCTGAGTGCTGGGGTTAGAAGCATTTACTTTCCACGTCTGGCTTGAACCATGATTTTTATCAACCTCAGCATCAGTGAAAGCTTTCATTCCTTGTGTTTTTTTTTTATTGTGGACAAAAGTTTTTATTTTGAAGTAAACGTTAAGGATAGGTGAGGCTTTTGTTCTTAACAACTTTTAAGCTGACAAGTTTATTAAGACACATTTGCTGAAGTATTTTACAACTCAGAAATTTATTCCTTCAGTAGAGTATAAGGGCAGATTATCTTGCAACCTTGTTCTGTGTTCCTACAAGGCAGATAGTATTTTTAAAAGTACTTTTGGCTTTTTTTATTTTCTGTGAATAAAGATTTCTATGGCAAGTTATTGTTTTATTTTTAGTTTTAGCTTTTCTGAAATGTTTTGAAATAATACTCTTTGCTTTTCCTTCCCTTAGTGTATGTATATATTACTAGAATGTGGCAGCTTTTAAAGTCTTTGTTGATTATCATTTGTTTTAATTGACTTTTTATTTCATAGTGCCCAATTTACAATCTTGAATGACTTTACCACCACTGTGTGTGTGCCTGTGCCTTAGTCTCTCTCTCTCTTTCTGCCTTACTCATTCATTCACTTATTATTTCATATTTTGTCTGCATGAGTCGCTATACACCATGTGTTCAAGGTCTACAGGGGTCAAAAAAGGGAGTCTGATGTCATGGGTCTGAAGTTGAGATAGTTGTGAGCTACCATGTGGTTGGAATCAAACCAGGTTCTCTGGAAGAGCAGCTATTGTCCTTAACCACTGAACCATCTCTTCAGTACCTATTTATTTTTTGAAATAGGTCTCTCACTGAACCTTGAGTCCATTGTTTGAGATAGATTGCTTGGCCAGTAAGCCCCCTATACCTCCCAGTTTCTTAATTCATTGACTCTTCACCCTCACAGATCTCCATTGTGTATTGTAGGTAAAAAGGAATAGTCCATGCCTTCATTTATTAAATATTGACAAGTAACCGAATTCTTAAAATCAGTCTCTGTTTCTCTCTCTCTCTCTCTTGTTTTTATTTTTATTTATTTACTTATTTTTTTTGAGAAAGGGTTTCTCTGTGTTGTTTTGGAGCCTATCCTGGAACTCACTCTAGACTAGGCTGGCCTTGAACTCAGAGAGATCAGCCTACCTTTGTCTCCTGAGTGCTGGAATCAAAGGCATGTGTCACCAATGCCAGGCATTTTTTTAATCTCTTAAACTGAAGGAAAAAAAAAGACGAAGAAATTTTTTTTTTTTTTTCGGGACAGGGTTTCTCTGTGTAGCCCTAGCTGCTCCTGGAACTAGCTCTTGTAGATCAGTCTGGCCTCGAACTCAGAGATACACCTGCCTCCGCCTTCCCAGTGCTGGGATTAAAGGTGTGCACCATCCCCCCCCCCCCCCAGCTTTTAAACTGAAAATATTTTAAGTAGGTACATTAATATTTATTAATTGCATGTTATTGTTTTCTTGGGTGCTCTTTAGCTTCTCTGATGATACACTGCCACCATTTCATTCCACGTTGTTTTCATGGAACTGCTTTTTAATATAATAACTGCCAAAACCCTAGCTCTGCCAACATGTATTACAGGGAAAGTGATGTTATCTAATACTGACGTAGACTCTGGGCTTCTCATTTGCATAATGTTTGGTTATTGCTATTTTTTCTTGAGATCCATTTAGCCTTGGCTGTTTTCCTACCAAAGTTACTGACTTTATGATAAAAACAGAGACCTGTACTTGGTAGATCTTATTTCTGTCTTCATTGTTTGTCCTCAGTAATGTGAAAAGTAATAGGAAACACTGTTTTATCATACCAGTTTACTTCCTTCGTCTGTAATTGACACAGTTACAGACTAATGGCCCTTACAAGAAAGGTTTGACAATGGGTATTTTTATTGTTTACCTCTGATAATTTGCTTTAAGTTTGAGTACCAGTCATATTTACACTCACTTTCTTGAATTATATTTCAAGCTTAAGACTTTGTATATCAATAGGTTGTCTAAGTGTGTTATGTGGCTGTCTGCCCCTATCTTACAAGTAATTTGAGAAGGCTTTCAGGATCTATGTACACTCCTTACTAGGTAATCACAAATTATCTAGAGGTGAGACATAGATAATTATCTATGAAACATGTATTTAGGACTTGAAACAATGCAAGAGTAGACTTTATACTTCATTTTTATTTTATTATTTGAAATTTTGTGTATGTATTCAATAAAATATCAAACCTAACCTCCTCCAGTTCCCCCAAGATACTCATACACACGTTGATTTCTAGACTTCATGTCCATCTTTTTTATTTTTACTCCTTAAAGCCCATGAAATTCATGTAGTGCTACCTTATATGTGCATGCCATCCACTAAGCATGGGCAGCATGAATGACCACTTGCCCAAAGAAGAATGCTGCTCCCTTTTGAGCAGATCACAACTGTATAGTTCATTTTTAAAGGTAAAGGTCAGTGGAAAAACAGTTAAAATAATTACTACATGAAATACGCAGAACAAACAGTACTTCTTTTACATGATGAGGCCTATTTTGAAAATAATTTTTGTAGTATTGACTATAACCAGTATTATTTGAAGTTGTAGTAATGAATGGAAGCATCACTAAATTGAAGAATGAGTTTGATTCATCACTGGCAGCTTGTTTACTGTGATAGTGATAAGTAATTTGTTTAACATTGATGACTTTTGTTTCTTACAAGTAGAGAAGCGATGTGCTTCTCTTAGTTACTTATTGTAGTTTAAAAATGACACATGTTTGTGTGGTTGTCTTGGTCACTTATGGCCTCAGCTGGACACTTAGTAGTTGGAACATGGATATTTATTGAGTTCTCATTTGACTGACTAGTCCCATTGCCAGGCTTTGTTTTGGTTTTGGAAAATAATTGAAAAACTTTGTAATATCATTGTAGTAGAATAATATAAGCATGGCTATAAGCAACTGGCAGCAGATTCATGTTGCAGAATACATGTTCTGTCTTTGAAAAGTGTTAATTACATTGTGCTTTGTACAATTTTTTTAGGAGGAACAAAACAGAGGCAAGCCCAATTGGGAGCATCTAAATGAAGATTTACATGTACTAATCACTGTGGAAGATGCTCAGAACAGAGCAGAAATCAAGCTGAAGAGAGCAGTTGAAGAAGTGAAGAAGTTACTGGTACCTGCAGTAAGTAATTTTCATCATTTGAATTTTTTAATATTTCTTTTTTCAGATTGATTTGAAACTGTTGGGATAATAAAGAATGGGTTGTTGTGTGTTAGTGATTTTATTTAGCCACAAAATATGAAAATAACATATGGCTCATTAAATATATGGTATAAAAGACAGGACTGCTCAAATTCTTAAGCAGGAATCCGTGCTTATTTTTGTGAAGGCAGTGTGATAAGAGAAGCAAACCTAATTAACCTCCTTCTTAAAAGCCACAGACTTAAATTGTTCCATTTCGGGGGAAAAAATGTAGATTCAGCAATTAGTAGGGTGCTAGAAGTTTTTTTGTTTTTCATATTTTGCTTGTTTGTAGGTTGTTTTTTTTTTTTTTTTTTTTTTTTTTTTTTTTTTTTTTTTTCTTTTCTTTGAAAAGTTGAGTAAGCAGGACATGTTGGCACAGGCTTAGAATCCCAACACTCAAGAGGCAGAAGAGGCAGGTAGATCTCTTGAGTTTGAGACCAGCCTAGTTTATAATAGTGAGCTCCAAGATAGTCAAGCCTATGTAGAGAGACCCTATTGTCACCACCACCACCCCCCAAATAAGGCAAAAAATTAAGTAATAGTAAGTTAGAGGCTGTGAAACTATTATTGTATTGGAAAGTAGACTTTGTGGCAGCTCATTATTTGAATCACCTATATGCTAGGTTCTCTTTGGCTTATTACTTTTTTCCCCTGTAGAAAAGTTAATGTTGCATAGTAAAACTTTGTTAAAGCATTGTAAATACTGGGTTTCACTGATTTTTGTAGGCACCATTCCAAATGTTTTTTACACTTTACTCATCCAAGCTAACAAACATACTTGGGAATCTTTCAATAAGACAGTAAAAATAAATTTGAGACTGGTATCTCATGAGAAATTGCCCAGTTCTCTTTGTTCTTGTGTCACCCCTTCCATTCTTTTCTGACCATTTTCTTCCCTCAGATCTTCACTCCTTTATATTGCTACATATGGTTTCTTTTTAACGGGAAATGAGAAGGAAATGATTTTAAGTGGTTCTCTCCCACCACTGTAGAACCTTGGAGTCAAACTCAAGTAAGGCTCACTGGCCAACAAGCAATTGTACACATGACAACCCCCCAGCCCCCACCCCTGCCACCTCCTTGTTTCTCTGTGTGACAGCCCGGGCTGTTTTGGAACTCACTTTGTAGACCACGCTATTGTATTTACAGCGCTTACTTCATTAAGCTGTCTCTCTCATATTAATAAAGTGGAACTATTCAATTGGCTGCTCTTAAAGAAGCTAGGAAAATTGAAGCTGTGTTGTCAATGGAGCCATTTTGTTGCTTGCATAAGAGTTTGAGATTTGTTAATTTTTTTTATATCCCAGTAATCTGTTCTTTAGTGTCCTGACAGTCTACTTTTTTATTCCTTGCAAGGCGAGTATTTCATATGAATTGTGTTGATAGATATATAAGGAACATGGACAGGCAGATTGTTTGCAAATGCAGGTCTTTGTATACTGTTAAATTATGTCTTCTTCCATTTCCTTAGTAATTGTATGGTCTTGAAAAGCAGTGAAAGAGAACTTTTTGTGAACATTCTGTTACTAGTTTCATAAACAGAAAAAATACTGGGATGCTATGTATTCAACAATCCAGAGCTACCATTATCCTGAACGTGTGTGTTTATTAATGCAGCAAAAAGAAAATTGTATAGTAGTTTACATTTTGGTTTACCCATTAGATTTTTCTAGCCATTCTTTTCTGTAATTTACTTTTATACTAAAAGATACTATCTTGAAAAAGACCATTGGTTTAGAAGGTTATTAGTGATTTTTGAAAGTTTTGTTCTCTGTGTTTCTTTACTTTAGGGTAACAACAACAAAACTCGAGTGTTAAGACCTTGGAGCAACAAACCTTTCAATTGTAGAATTGGGCTGGGCAGTGGTAGTGCAGTCCTTTAATTCCCAAGGGAGGCAGAGGCATGAGTTCGAGGCCACGCTGGTCTACAAAGCAAGTTCCAGGATAGCCAGAGCTATACAGAGAAACCCTGTCTTGAAAAACCAAAAGAATGAAAAAATCATTTGTATAATTGTTTGTTGGTCAGTTAGGATTACTTGAGTTTGACCCTCAGGTTCTGCAGTGGTGGAAGAGAACCAGTTTCTGAAAGTTATCCTCTAACTTTAACATGAGAACTGTTGTTAATGTGTGCCCACACTCTCATTCTCCATACAAATACTAGGGTATAAAAATTGTTTGTGTCTAGAATGTGAAAAGGTGGTAGCAAATAAATGAATGAAACTTTTAAGAAAATGTGTATTATGTATTTTATGGGAAAATAGCCAGTTTTGGTAACTCTCCTAGTAAAGGCTTTTAGTATTGTTGCTGTTATTGTTAAATAGGTAACTGATTTTAAATTGTGCTATTTGGTATAGACTATAAGATAAAAACACATACTTTTGTTTTTGTTTTGTTGTTTTTGTTTTGTTTTTTTCTGGAGAGATGACTCAGCTGTTAAAGTCTAGGCTCACAACCAAAAATTAAAAAAAATATATATATATAATTTTAAATCATGGGTTGTATGCATTGATTTAACACTGCATAATAATTTCATTTTACGGCATGTTTCTACTTAAATTGTATTAAATAATCTATTTTAATTAAAATTTAATTTTTATGTGTATTTTTGATGCCTATATCAAGATAATCAGACTTTTAACAAAAGCAAATTAACTATTTGAAACTTTTTCTGTAATTGGTCTGTTCTTTGATACTAACCTTGTGTAAACTTAGTCAAGAGAAAAATGGTGTTCAAACTGGCCTTTTATGCATAGAGATAGTTAAACTAGCATAAAATAAAATGAGTCATCCATTTGTATTTTTTTAAAAAAAAGTCATCACACAAAACAGTTAATGTGTGATTGCTATGTCATTAAACACCTCATGTATTTTGCTGACTGTCATCTACTAAGAGTGTCATGCCACTCATGAGACAGGGTCTTTATACTAGCTCTGGGTATCTCCAACATGGAGGTGCCTAGTCATTGTAGTAACCCAACTTCATTTCTAATCAGATGCTTTTCACATCCTGGAAGGGAAAAAACAGTGGGAGAAAAGGGGCTTGTTCTCAGTATCTACTAGTCATTCTTTAGCTTTTTTGAGACAGCGTCTCCTGTAGTTCAGCTTATGGATGAACTCATATTCCTCTACCCCCATCTCCCAGCTGCTAGGATTACTTGTGCCAATATGCCCTTCTCATTTCTTTGATTTTTCAGTCAATTCTGCTGCTTATTAAAAATATTATTGGTAATAATTTGATCTTCTTCCAGTCAGCAAATAGGAAACTTTTACATCATAACACCTGAGTTCCTATAGTTTATCTTCTGATCTATTGACTACTATTTCTGCTTGAAAAAAAATCACCTAACAATTGAATATGTTCTTTATTATTAATTATAATCATATATTTGTAATATTAAATGAGATGTGAAGTTTTCACTTCATTTTTTAGGGCTTTTGTGTTGAAAATAGGTTTTTCATAAAATATATTCTGATGTAGTTTCCCCTTCAACTCCTCTCAGATCCTCCCAGCTTCCCTACTCACTTAAATTTATATCCTTTCTTTCTTTCTCTCACTAGAAGACAAGCAGGCATCTTTTAAAAATGAGATAAAAACAAACCAGAATAGGGCAAAACAAACAAACAAACAAAAAAAAAAAGCCAGTGGAAAAGCACATGAAACACATACAGGCACAGAGACACACACACATTAGCAATGCAGAAATCCGAGAAAAAAACACAAAATCAGAAATCATAATATATAAACAAAAGATCCATAAAGTAAAAAATGCCCAAACACAATCTTTTATGAGGAAAAGACGGAGGGGAGGTGGGTACTCAAGAAATATCATTAGGTTTATTTTGTGTTGCCCATTTGCTGCTGGGCATGCAGCCTGCCTTTAATGTGGGTTTTGTATACCTTGTGAGTTCCTTTGTAAGTGATTATCATTTGGAGATAGCTTCTGAGTTGGGGAC